ACTATACTTTATTAACTGTCCTCTTCCTTCTCCCACTCTCACACACAGACACACACATTATTTTGCTTTTTCGAAAGGCACGACTTCATTGCTTCTTTAAACCCTTGCCTCTACCAATCCTCCATACATTCTTTCCTTTCCCTCCATCGCTCTCTGGTGAGAGGGTTGACAGTTAATTGGGAGTATGTTTTAATGAGCTGGCCCTGAGATTCTATCTTCTCCTTTCATTAGGAAGGGAAGACGGGGGAACCGGTGTCAAGGAAGCGAAAGAAGACTGCGAGAGAGCGAGGGATAGAAAAAAAGAAAAAGAAGAAAAGTGAGTCGATCAAGAACATCTAGAAGTTTTTAGTAACTGCTGTGGAGAGCACAGCTCCGCGCGTGTGTTTGTTTATTTGTTAATGAGCTAATCAATAGCAGAGGTGTGTAAGCCCAGCAGTGGATCTGTTCTGGGAGATTACTCACAGAGACACACAACTTGTAAGATTTGTTTATTTACAATTTTCCACACTTGTTTTTATAACTGGTCTGACTCAACTAAAGTTGCTCAACTAAATTTGAACAACACAAACACGATAGGTCGATTTCATTTGAGCTACTACACGCCTCTATCCAGCATTGTTCTACTATGAGAATAAAATACCTTAGAGGAAATTAAAAGAAAAAAAAAAGTAGCATTTAAATCACTGTGTGTGTATTAGAAAAACTGCAAACAACGTCTTTATCCTTGTAATGTCAGATTGGCTTTTTGGCCTTTGTGCTTATCTCAATCTTTAAATGGGCAAATGTTAATATTGTAAATGCGAGCCGTGCCTTCCTCTTGTCGAAAACTTCTGGAAGAAAAATGTTCAAATAACTCACTTGCTCACACAGCTAAGGTGTTTATCTCGCTGATTAGCAGAGACTCATAAATACCTAATCACTGATGCTAATCAGCCCTCTCACCTAGGGGTGAGCTAAAAATACAAATGACACACACGCTCATCTTAAGCTAATACACAACCATTTTCTGCACAATTTCCCTTTCAAAACAGACAGCCATCACAGACATTTTAACATAACATCGCATTAATCCATTATTAACTGACAAACAATCATTTCTCCACATGGACCGGCCATGACTGAGTAGCTTTTTGCACTGCAGCGGTTCTTGTTTGCAACACTATAAAAGAAGCACAGAGTCGACTTCGACACTCACAACTTTTGATCTCCCAACACTCAAAGATCGGCTGTTAACAGAAACCCACAGTTGAGCTTCTGACTTTATTCTGTAAAACTGATCAAAACAACAGCAGGCAAGTGCCAACATAATAAGATTCCTTCTGACTTTGAATTTTATATCAGTTCACTTCAAAGTGTTTTAGGATAAATATTGAAGAGGTGTGCATCTTGATTAACCATAGGATGCAACAATAGAATAAGTAAAGACTAAGAGTCTATGCATGCACTGCATCATCACATTAACATGCATACAGTGTGTCAACCAGCTATGTTAGTGCTAATCTCAAAAGTACAACTGAAGGAAACAGGAATTCTATATACAGTGTTACAAAAATTCATCCTCTGGGGACCAAGAATGCCTGCAGCAAATTTGATTGACTGACAGCTGACTAACATCATGAAGCAATCCTGCTGTGCAAAATGGAGAAAAGACTATCTACATTTTTGGTTGTGGTAATAACGCTGAGTCACAGGACCTTTACTATGCTATGCTAAACAATGTACACGCAAAAAATGCCTTCAAACAAACCTCCCACAATACGATCTTTATGAAGCTGGTGAGAGATGTTGGTTCAACACTGCGGTCACTTTTGAGGGTGGAGTGTTGTATTAGCACTACAGAGGTATTCATGTTAGATAAGGAGTTCCATTAAAGGAACAAGGGGGGAATAAACACTGAGCTCAAATGATTAGTCAATTAAATGCACAGTATGTAACTTCTGCCGCTATGGGGTCTCAATCAAAACAATAACAAAAGACGACATTGGGTGACGTTAAGAGTTTTCGTCTTCAGCACCATTGCCGTAAACTTTGGATTTCTCCAGTGTCAGTTGTTCAGGAGATTTTTAACCGGGAGCTGAATTATCCACAGAGGGCCCCCCTTCTCTACAAATCAAACAGACCCAGTGATTCTAACTGTTAAAGAACTGAATAGATCAGTTTCACTAGTCGGCTAGCGGCTTGGATCGTTTGTCGGACAAATCAAGACATTTAAGGGACAACTGTTTGACATTTGATAGAATAAAAGACCGTCTAATAATTGAGGAAATAATCTGCAGATTGACCAATAATAAAAAACAATAGTTAGCAGCTGTAGCTGCTGTACTCTGAAAACACAGGTTGAAGCTTCAATCAACACATTTTCTCTCAAGCTGAATCATATGTTTGCATGAGTGATGATCAAAGAAGTTTTGTTTCATTATCCTTTTTTCCCAAAAACCCTCAAATAGCAGCATTTGATCGTGGTGATGTTTTCCACAGATCAAATGGGGGGGAATGTGGTTTAAATAACAACATCTGAGCCAAGTTAGTGACAAGGACTGAATAAACAACACATTTCTTGCAGTTATAATTACCACTATCATCCTGTCTCTCTCCCATCCCCGTTGAGACTCACGCAGAACAGAATGAAAGAGACAAAAAAAGCATCTGTATCCGACAATTTTACTTGAAACATTTAAATTACCAAATTAAAGCAGTATTAAAGGGCTGAAAAATAAGTGTGAATACAGGCTGAAGGAATCATTTCAATGAGAGTGCGACATAATGAATGCGCAAGAAGAGAGAGAGGGAACATGACAGCTGCAGGTTAAACAGCTTACACCATAGGAGGGGGATTTGGGTGCTTCTGCTAGAGGGGGATATTAGCAGGATTATCTGGCAACCCTGTTGCTGAGGTGAATAACATTAGAATCCTATTTGTAAAGACTTCTATGCTTCCTGTCCAAAATCCCCCATTTTCTCTCCACTTACTCCTGCCTCATCCTACAATTAGTCCACTTTATATTCTCATAGCACAGATTACACTCGCACACACGCCTCAAGAGCATGTTATGCATGTTATGTATATTGTACTGATGTGTATGTGTTCCTTTAAGTGTGGGTGCTCCTTATGTGTGTGTGTGTGCGTGTGTGTGTGCATGTGTGTGGTGTGAGTGTTGTATTCTATTAGTAGTACAGGCCTTTCTGCTCCCATAGGCCACCAGGCGTGTGTGTCATACGCAGTCAGACAGTGGAGAACACCCTGAATACTAATACTGGAGGTGTAAGCATCTGTTTTGTGTGTGTATCTGTGTGTCTTTGTACATCTGTATGCATGTGCACCCAACAGAGTGAGGGGGGAGGGGGTGGGTGCTGTGTGGTGAAGTGTGGTGTGACAGAAAGTGTTGAGATTGGAGTGAGTATGTGTGCATTTGAGTGTGACAGTGCGCACTATGAGGGTATTACGACTGCGTGTGTGTGTGTGTGTGTGTGTGTGTGCGTGCATTTGTTCTCTGGACGCAGTCTGAGGTTAATAAATATTGACGGTGAATTATCTCTTCTGGCAGGGTCGCAGGTGGGTTCGATGAAGCAGATTGGACACACAAGCAAGAAAAAATAAAAGCATGTGCGTGCGTTCACACGCACATTCAAATCCTCCCTATTCTCATGTTATTCACTACTCCACCTGCATTCAAGTGAGTCCTTGAGCAAGGCGATGAACAGTCGCAATCGCCTTCCTCTTGACCACAATAATTAGCCTGCCAAGATAATAAAGCTGCTTTCAACGTCGCCAGTATGGATTCTCTGTGGGGTTTTTTTCTAGCTAGAGGCCCCCTATCATAACACAACACAGCAACAACACAGTGATTAGCTACTGCTACACACTCAGATCAAGGGGGGCATAAACAAGAAGAGAGATAAAGGTGTAGCAGGACAGGATGGAGCGAGGAAGAAAGAGACAAAGAGGTAAGTGCAAAGGGAGCATGACAGGATGTTTTCACTGCAAAGCTACTTAAGGAAAGGATTTTCTCAACAGCTAAGGGACAGACACAAATACAGTTTTTATTTAGCCCACTCAATGAGTGTATGGGGAGTGGTGATCGATTAATGCGGCCCAGCCCTGTGACACTGCCCAGTCATCACTCTCTCTCTCGTACACACACACACACACACACAACCATTCCTCCACACATTCAATAAAAAACAGCAGGACACAGTCTCTGTTGGCGTAGTGTTCCTCTCACTGCATGGACGAGTTAGGCACAAAGCTATAACGTGGCATAATGGTGCATAAACGTGGATGTGGGAGGGATACAGTAAAAAGGGGGAGAAAGCACCTTGCAAGGTCAAATTTGCACTTCCTGAAGCATTTTGTGTAAGAGCTCACAGAGATATCAGCACTCACACAGACGCTACAGCCTGTAGGAATTCTGATGTTGAGTGTTTCCCTTTTAACTTCACACTTCTATGGTTATGATCACTGTGCATATGCTTTGAGAAACACACACTGCCAGCGGCTCAACAGCTACTTGCAACCTGATACCTGATCTCAGCAGGTATGTAGGTAGAGATGTATGTAAAGCTGAAACTGTATTAAAGCTGAAGTATGTCTGGTCTTAAAGGTCGTATAAAAGTTCAACACATTTCTGAGCTTGTGCATAACTTTTATCTGTCTCTTTCTTTGAACGCACTAAAGTTATAATGTCACATAATAATAATAATAATAATATATAATATATATATATATATATATATATATATTATTGGATTGCACTTATATAATGCTTGTTAACCACTCAAAGCGCTTTACAATGGAAGCCACATTCAACCATTTGCATACATTCATACAGGGCTTTTCTACTATACAGACCGATTCATGGGTTCAGTATCTTGCCCAAGGACACTTCAAAATGCAGACTGGAGGAGCAGGGAATCGAACCACCAACCAAATATCTGGGGCAAAATAATGTGATATTTGATTGTGTCCACATTAAGCAGTCGCAAATGTGAAGCACACGTACCTTTTTGAAGAGCAGGGAGTCGTCCATGTGCTCTGCGTACACCGAGGTGAGCCTGTATTGGTTCTCAGTGGTGATATCGATCTGATAGCCGGTCAGGACGTAGCAGACTGTACGGAACTCCTGGATTTTTCTCTGAAACACCTCCTTCAGTCTCTGGTTCCTGAGCTCAGAGCTCTCCATCTGCTTACGTAAATCTGCCACACACACACACACACACACACACACACACACACACACACAGAAGTCGGGAGAATGCATCAGTCAGATATGGGGTGTTGAGTCTAGACTGATGAAGGAACAATGAATTTAAGCGATTTTAGCATAAGCTGCAACATAATGATATGTGAAAAAAGTGAAAGGACCTGAATTCTCTCCGAATGCACTGCTGTGCATTAAGTTTTGGTTGGTAGTTTTATTTCTATAACATCACTCTTTGTGGCCACGTGCAACTCAAGGATTCCACTGTAAGATTCAGCTACATGTGCAAGACAGCTCCTCCAAAGAACTCTACAACTACATGCTCAATTCACTGAGCTCATGCAGCATAGATGGACAGCTCCATATCAAATATACACTGCCTGCAGCACTCCATCTGCTCACTCAGGGTCTACAAAACACTATAATGCTCAGTGTGTAGTGGCAACTAAGGCAGTCTGCAGCGGATCCTAGCTGGGAGCAGAGAGAATCGTGGAGTGGAGAAGCAGGATGGGGCTTGACTTTAATTTGGTGAAAATCAATTTGTGATAATTACTTTAATTTGAAGGCTTGATTTGAGAAGGCACAGAAATTAGTTTGTCTGAGCAAAAAAATTAGTCATTATGGACGGCGCTATTTACAATGTTATCACTGCGGCAAATGCTGAAAGGGAGATACATGCATGTGAGCCTGTGCAATTATGCATGAGTGTGATGTAACCTCAGAAATGGTGAAACAAGGGAGGAGAGCCGCAAAATGTTAATGTTCATATTTAATGGAAAAACTCTGGAATAGGTTTGCGTATGTCATCCAACCAAAGTGTCAGAGAGCTGAAACTTTTATCTGCAGAGTGAAGCATAGTCTCTGTCGATACTGGCAGTCATCAACAGTCATTTGATTGCTATTTCTGCGATTTCAGTCAAACAAAAAAAAAACAAAAAAAAAAAAAAAGTTTAAAAGCTTAGTTTGGAGGCTTTTATCCGAACCCTAACATCCATAGTGGAAGTGCAATTCTCCACCTTTTACAAAATAACTGCACATCATGGAAAGGTGGACAGATTGCTCTACCTAAACAGCAGTGAGTAACACGGTGCAAATTCAACCAAGTTGTCTTCTTCACTAAATCAACAATTGTCCTCAGTCTTGTTCTTGCTGTTTACATCAGAGAAAAGGCCTATCCTGACTGTTTCCCATTTCTGAAAAGGGAGAAAAACAATTTATGCAAGGCTGATAAAAATGCTTATTTAACAGCCCTGAAAAATTTAGTTTGTGTTGATTTATTTTTTTCAAGGTCAAAAGGCATTTCAGTTGCTCAAATTTACATCTGTTCAATATAACACACAAACACAACATCCACTTATATACTTGCAAGAGCAGTTGATAGTGACAGTAGTGCATTTTCATAGCCAAGACTTCTAACCCTTCTATGACTGATAATTATTTCTACACATCACTCTTCTTCATGCATCTCGGCCTTTTACTCTTTTATCTGTGATTATCTAACAAGCAGATGGCTTGAAAGTATAAACTTTAAAGAGTGTGTCAGTGTGTCTGTCTGTGAGCCTGTCTGTCTCCTGGGTAACTGGGCTCCTCTCGAGTGTCAGTCAGTGCTGATAAATACTGTTTCAAGACTTCGGGATTGTGACAAAACTGTCACTGTATGACAGCTATCAAACTGCCCTCAAAATGACTGTTAATTCTCAAGTGACAGCGTGAAGTAGACACTGCTTAAATTCACTGCAACATGCAGACAAATTGACGTGTACACAGAGACACGGGGTGTTATTTCCTCACATATGCATATCTACACATGTATGTGTAAATTAAAAGTCTTCCAAGTTAGAAAATTTTTTTAAACTAACTGTCAAGCTTTAAGAAAGTTAGTGACTTCTGACTTTTGCCCTTAATTGGTCTCTATGGGTCTGGGCGTGCTGTCTCCTAAAAGCTGTCAGGAAAATTCCACTCCTAAGGGAGCTTCTTATTTATATATTTTTTGCCTACTCGTTTTGCAACTTTAAGAACTCCCAAAGTTTGCATCAGTATCCGTTTATCTGGACGTAACAGGGAAAAATGAACAAAAAACAGGTAAAAACACAAATCATTCTTTGTGTGAAGTGTTAACGTTGTCCTGATTTTGCTTCATGTGATTTCTTAGGACTACTCAAAGTTAAGGAAGACAGGAAGAAAGGACAATTATTCTACAGTGAAAAATCATGAAAAAAACTATAAAAAACAAGAACTGGAATGAATAAATGAAGAATTGTAGCATTTAAAATAAAAAATCTCTCAGGGTGGAGATGAAAAAAAAAAGAAAAGATGGGTTATGGCACTAAAAGTAAGGGGGATTATGGCCTGGCAAGATTAATCTGTAAGCGGTGGGGTGGGAAAAAATGTTTTACTGAAATAAAATGAAGCCCTGCAAGAGGACGACAGCAGGTG